CTTCTTCAGAAATTTTCTGAAGAAGGGTCTAGGCCTGAAACGTCAGCCTTCCTGCTCCTCTGATGCTGCTTGGCCTGCTGTGTTCATCCAGCTCTACACCTTGTTATCTCAGATTCTCCAGCATCTGCAGTTCCTACTATCCCTAAAATAATTTTGTCAGGGATGGAATTGTATTTGTTTTAAAACCTGGTTAAAGTGTAGTTTCTCCTCTTCCCTCAATGTTTAAGTCTAGTGTATATTTCCATATGTCATATAGAGTCCATGATCGAAGCATTGATGTATTGCATTGATTCAGAGGCCTTTATACCCTCCAAGTGAGGCAGAGACACTAAAGGTGAGAGAATGGGCACCATAGTGCCTGATTTAGAACTTTACTTAAATATGCATTTTCTTGGTGAGTTCTGGTCAAACTGTTTAACATTCGAGTAATGCTGTACTGAAAACCCCGTGATGACACGCCTGTGATTTCCATAATGGCTGTCAACAGCACCCAAAAGGTAAGTGACCATTCCTCTGCTTGTGAGCACTGAACTAATTTCTGTTTGCGAACATTAGCTCAAGAAATAGTTACAAATTGGCCTGGTTCAGACTTTGAAACTAACTTCATGCATGGTTTTAGAGAAGTGCTGTTCTAACCAGTCTTGGCTGCCATTTGGAAAGAAGAGTATGTTGAGAGATATGAAGTAGGAGAGGGACTGAAGTAGGGGTCAGAAATGTATGGAATGTAGATTCTCTGGTGGCTTGTGGAGATTTGTTGCAGTGGCCCTTGGTACTTTGGCTATTTAGTGGAGGTTCCTAGGAGTACAAATGGAGCAAGACAGAAGTGAAAGCGGTTGAGGTGTTGATTTCCAGGATAGCCTCTGGAGTGACCATTTTGGGTAATTAATCATGTTGAGTTTTAAAAATCAATGATAAAATCAAATGAACATTTGTGTGCTTTCTGGCAGTGCTGATCCTGTAATCAGGGGAATATGTTGCTTTCTTCATTTAGTACTTCTGAAAACCTGGGAGCAAATTTTGTATTAAGAAATTTACCACATTACCGATATTCTTTGTAACTTTAAATATTTGCAGGTTTCTAGATCCACAGGGAGTTTAGAGATAAGACTTGCTTCAAACAGATGGGATTTTACACCAAAGAAACTCACAGTAAAACTGCTGTTGTTTCATCAAGTGTTCCCTGTGCAGGTAACCGAGTCTGATATATTAAATTATGACCCAAAGCAGGTTTGAACCACCACCTGTTAAGTACATTTTTCTTCCCAGATGATCATGACTTTTGTTGGGCTGTAGTTGCACAGACCTCAGTGTCTTCTGGTAACTTCCCAACCTGTTACTTCTTTGTTGTAACTTAACGGAAAGGAGGTGTAATTTCTGTCGCATACAAATGCAAATCATTAATTTTCACAAAACAACATAAACAGCAGTTATTATTTATTTTAGAGCTGTTAATTAATACTTTTCCCTCAGTTAGCACAGCAGAGAATTCATTCCTTTCTGAGACGTGTATGGAATCATTTGCATAAATCTAAGAACGATGATGCACCATCCTGCCACAGAGGTTGAGTGAATGATGTTTTGGCTACCTGACAATAAGGGGCATTACAGCCAATCCTGATACACGTTTACTTTAACATTTGACCTTGGATCATTTCTAGCAGAAATTTCTCGATTTCATCTAAGAATAGGAGTAGCTAATGTTCTGTTTCCCTATACTATGTACATGGCATTGAGATCAATTGTGCTGCTCTTTCACTTGTTAGCAGATACCTCTCCGAACTAAAATAACACTGGGTTGGGCCTGCTCCAATCAGAGTTCTTCAGTGATTTCTGCTGTGAAGCAGCAACCACCATTAAAAAAATGTGTGCCTGTCTTTTATAAGATGTGATGTGAAGATAGTAGGATTGAGGGATGGCACAGTGGCCAGCACAGATGCCTTATAGCACCGGGGACCTGGGTTTGATTCTACCCTTGGGCAACTGTCTGTGTGGAATTTGCACATTCTGCCCGTGTCTGCTTGGGTTTCCTCTGGGTGCTCTGGTTTCCTTCCACAGTCCAAAGATGTGCAGGCTAGGTGGATTGCCGTGCTAAATTGCCCATTGTGTTCAGGGATGAGCAATCTGGGTGGATTAGCCATGAGAAATGCAACATAGGGTAGGGGGCTGAATCTGGGTGGGATGCTGTTCGGAGGGGGTGTGTGGACTCGATGGGCCGAATGGCCTGTTTCCACGTTGTAGGGTTTCAATGATTCTATGAGAAATCTTCCAGCTCCACAGGCCTCCTGAAGTTTGCTGCCAGCTTGCAATAAGCCCTTAGTGCTCATCCTCCCTCACCTTGCTTGAAGTCATCAAAACTGCCCCAGGGCATATCGGAGGACCACCGCATGCAAGGCAGGCCATTGGTCACAATCGATCCCCAAGGAGTGGGTATCAGATTCTGGACAGATGACAGGCACATCAAGCTGATGGATCATCTAAGTGATTGAAATTTGGCCCAGTCTCCTGTCTTGGTAATTTCTACTTCACTGTCTCACTGACCTGGGCTTGCTAAGTGGATTGTGCCTCTGCGAATTGAGGACAATAGACGGATGGTGTTTTAGATAATGGAGGGTGTCCAACAAGATAAATTTTAGAGACATGATGGACTAATTAGTTTGTTGGAAATGCCACATCACTGTTTTCTCTTCCTTTTAAACTTGAAAAACCTGAATTGTGAAGCTGACGTTTCGGGCCTAGAAATGTCGGGCCCGAAATGTCAGCTTTCCTGCTCCTCTGATGCTGCTTGGCCTGCTGTGTTCATCCAGCTCTACACCTTGTTATCTCAGATTCTCCAGCATCTGCAGTTCCTACTATCTCTGAATTGTGAACTCTGGTAATGCTAATGGTTGAAATGAGCAAGAATTGGTCAACTTCATTGTAAACTTCAAACATTCCCTGGGAGCATGTATCAGTTCTTCTAGAAATGAAATATCTATTCTTTCTTTAAAGTCTGGCATCTCCATTAAGCTTTCATATACATATTCAAGGTGTCCTCCAATATAACCCATCAATGATTCACGTTATCTGAACTCATGCTGTGCTTTTGGAATGTCTACTTGTAGTTGGAATTTGTAACATCTGCTTTAGGTTGACTGCTGTGATTTCAACTGAGATGTTATCATTTGGAATGTGTACCTGGATTTGAAAAGTATACCATTGTTTGGAATAGATACTATCAATGAGAATTTCTACCTGTGGATTTGGATTTAGATTTGGATTACGCTGAAGTTGCAAAGTACACATTTCTTGGGATGGACACAGTGTTGTGGAATATGCATTTTTGATTTGGAGTTTGTATTGTAGTTGTGAGTTGTGGTTTTGTACTTTGCTATTGAATCAATAAATGTTGTTTGAACGAGGTCCCCACATTTTGAAATGTGTGTCATAGTTTACATGAGTATATTGCGTGGACCTAGATCAGGTGCTGCATGGCTTGCACTTTCTTGACCAAATAGGAACAATTATCATACAAAGTTAGTCAGGCCCTCAATATCATGAAATAAGCAGACTTCCAGGGTCCCAATGTTGATTGGTATCTTGTCTTTGGAGGATTTTAGCATCTTGTGTCCCAGGCATTATTAAAGGCAATCATCACCTCATAAAGGGTACTTTCAATACAAGCAACCAGATGCCAGTTCAGGAGATGGCAGACCAAAGCATAGCTTTATGGGTCTCCTGCCTCTCAGATACAGAACTAGAAATCCTAGTGGAGGAAGTTACCATGAGGAAGGATGTACTCAAGTGCCAGAGTAGGAAGGCTTGCCAGCAAGTGGACACAGGGGTGGAACATCAGCTCCAAGAGCATTCTCCAACAACGTGGTTGCAATGCAGAAAGTTCAGTTATCTGGGCAAGATTGCCAAGGTAAGATTTCCAATTCTTATCATGCATCAGTCTCTGTATAACTCTGCATGACCCAGAACTCACCAGATTTTCATCCACCAGCCTCCAATTACTGCAGCACATTTTCTTCCAGCTCCTTCTGCTACATTTTGCATCTCCATCTGTCCTCAATATTGCTGCCTCATTTCCACACACCTCAGCTAAGCCTCACATACCAGGAGTTTTATTCGACCACGACAGGCAGAACCTCAGAGCATTCTGCTAGGCTAACATAAAAACTCTCCCTCTTGGATATTAGGGAAACTAACAAACTATAATAGATAGGAGGAGGATTAGTTATCATTTAGGTTCCCTCTTGCGCAAGGAGCAAGTAATGCCAATCATAGAATCCCTACAGTGTGGAAACAGGCCCTTCGGCCCAACAAGTCCACACTGACCCTCAGACATCCCACCCGGATCCATTCCCCCTATAACCCACCTAATCTACACATTCCTGAACACTATGGGCAATTTAGCATAGCTAATCCACCTAGCCTGTACATCTTTGGACTGTGGGAGGAACCTGGAGCACCCGGTGGAAACCCACGCAGACACAGGGAGAATGTGCAAACTCCACACAGACAGGGATGAGGGTGGGATCAAGCCCTGGTTCCTGGCACTGTAAGGCAGTAGTGCTAACCACTGAGCCAACGTGCTGCCCTAAACCTATACATATTGGTTGGATCAAGGGCATGTCAATTGGTGCAGCCTGAGGACATGTTTACCTACTGCACACTTCCTTCCTTCTCACTAAAATCTCAACCTCACACAATTTGCATGACAACAATCTCTCCTGTGTCTCTGCTTGAGTTAATCTTTATCATAGAATCCCTGTGGCATTAAAAGAGGTCATTTGCCCACCAATTCTGCATCAACGCTACAAAGAGCATCTGCTCAGATCCAGCTCACTATCCTATCTCCATAGCCCCATATTTGCCATGGCTAATCCATCGAACCTACACATCCCTGGACATTATGGGCAATTTAGCATGGCCAATCCACCCTAACCTGCACACCTTTGCACAGTAGGAGGAAAACAGGAGCACCCAGTGGAAACTGTTGCAGACAAAAAGAACATGCAAACTCCACACACAGTTGCCTAGGTTGCAGTCAAACCCAGGTCCTTGGTGCTGTGAGGTGGCAATGCTAACCACTGAGCTGAGAGAGATTTATGTCTCTCTTCCTCCCAGGGCAACAAAAGGTAGAGCTCTCAACTGTTGAGGATGTAGCAGAAAGCAGCAGCCAAGGAGATGCAGTTACTTTAGCAAGCATGGATTCAGAAAATGACACTGCACATGCAGTAGAGTAGCAAAGATTGTTGCACTGGGATATGCACAGAGTACTAGCATAGAACAGTATGAACTGTAGGATGATACAGCTAAGGGAGTTACTAGTCAAAGGCAGAAGGCACAGCCTAGTCCTGCAATAGAATGCACAGATGAAGATCTCAAGGGCACAAGTTTCTAAGCCTGCTTCCTGTACATCAGAATCTTTTATTGCCCTGGTGGCTACAGAGACATCATCCGTCACAGCACAGAATGGCATAGTCCAACTCCAGTTTATATTATGTTTGTTCTTCTCATAGAATGTGAGCAGCAAAAGGAAAAAAGCACATTTCACGGTTGTCTTTTGCACTGTTCTTTGTGTAAATGTTCAATTTTTCCAGCATCAATCCAAAGGGTTTCCCAGCTCCTGATGGCTTATTCCAGTCCTTTTATCTGTGACAATTTGCAAATTTAGAGCATGCTTTGGCAGTGAAATTTTCCTTCCCCAGAGATTCTCTTTCTAGGTCAAGCTAGTTTGTTTTAACTCCCCATAAATTTGGCCATCTCAACTGGAGTATGAATTTCCACCCACATTCCTGCACAGTGAACCATAGGAACCTTTTTGGCTTCTAGCTGTTCCTTCTCTCCAGGATCTGAATGGACTCAAAATACTGCCTGTGATATTCTAGGAGTGAGTGTAACCTGATCTTTCCATTGACTTCTTCTGCATCCTTCCTCGTGGCAACATAAATCAAATGGGATTTAAATTAATAGATACAAACAGAAAGCATTACAATATTATCAATCTCATAATTGTAATAAAGAGATGTTCAATTTTCTTTTATTGCAAATGGACGTTGCCTTTCTCTCTTTAATATTTCATGATTTGGGCATTGCTGGCAATGCCAATAATTGCTGTCCCTGGCAATTTCCTTTTCATTGAGTGACTTACTCGGTCATTTCAGAGGGCAGTTAAGTCAAGGACATTGCTGAGGGTCTAGTGTCACATGTTGTTCAGTCTAGGTAATGGTGGTACATTTCTCTCCCTAAGAGACATTAGTGAACTGACTATAGTTTCATGGTTGTTTCATCATCATTAATGAGACTAGCTTTATATTCCAGATGTTATTAATTGAATTTAAATTTCACCAGCTGCCAAGTTAGAAGTTCAGTCCATGACACCAGAGCAAGAGACTGGACCACGAGATTACTAATCTAGTGACATAACCATTATGCTACCATCTTCCCCTGCTTGCCACTTGTGTGGTGGGAATGGTTCTTGCTATATTTTAGCACAAACCAATGTCTGTGTTTAAATAGGATTGTCAAACACAATGGGCCCAAAATAGTAAAACCTGTGGTGAGAATTCCTACTGTTTTGCTGGAAACTCACCTTGCTGTTATCTGGCTCTGTGAGTGAATATCTTGTCAGCTTTTTAATCAATGAACAGAAGCATGGATATGAATTTGGGGAGCGTGAATGGAGACACCACTACTTTTTTACTCTGTTGTCACATGGAGGGGAGGCAGTGTGGAGGCACTATCACAGTGGTAATTGGCCCTTTAAGGGACTGACTAAAACTGAGCTTTCTCAAGTTGTTTCCTATAAGAGTGACTAATTCAAAAGTACTTCATTAGTTGTGAAGTGCTGTGTGGTGGTTGTGAAAAGCACTATTTAATGTAAGTTTTCCTTTTATTTTGGCAGCAGGCCTGCATTCCTACCAGTCTCTGACCTAGTGGTTTAGTGCTTTGACTGGTTCCTTAAAACTAGCTGGCCCTGACTGCTCCTGATTGATGCCAAGATACAGCAGCTTGAGTTCGGCTCACTAAAGCCAAAGGTTTTTTCCCCGAACAATCAGGTTCCTACAATAGGGGAACAATGTCTTTGCAGCAGTGGAATAGAGCATTAAAACATTACACCAAGATGATTACAATTCAATACTAAAAGAAGGAAATGTTAAATCCTCAGTGTGCTTACTGGGAAGGTAAAATTCTGACATTAGTCTTGCATTGATGTTGGTCTTCATATTCTCCCCTTTGAGATAGTAGGCACAGAAGGCCTTCAGAGGCTGTTAGAATTGAGGAGGTGTAGGGCTACTAAAGGGAGGGGAGGATTTGTCAAGAGAATCTGCCACCAATAATTAGTTGCTGTTTAATTCTGTCAGTTGGCTGCTCCAGCTAGCATTCCTCTTTCTCATTTGCCTTTTCTTTTTCCATTCCCTTCTTCACCCTCAAAAGCACACCTTCCTTCTGCAGCTTAGCCCTTCTGGTTGATAGGATTGTGCAGCAAAACACAACAGGTCAGTTAGGCAGAACTCCATTGGGTTAATCCAGGATCCAGACACCTATGATTTTCTCAGTAGAGTTTTGGCTTAAATGTGGCTCTCAGTGTTTTGGCACTACTCATATGTGCCTGGATTCCAGGCAGGAGTTCTGAACCAGATGTAGAGGGATACCTGTGACCTCCCAAGGACCATGCTCCCATCTGCTAGACTAGATCAAAAAGAGGTGGATTGTGGATCCTGGTGACACAAAGATAGGGGTATTGTAAGCAGTATAGATTGTAGCATATTCTATCAACATCTTCTTGTTAATGTTAAGTGAATGGGCAAACTGTTGCAAATGGATTTCAGAATGGCCAATTGTGAGATCCTCCACTTTGGATCTAAAATTAATAGGACAGGGTACTTTCTAAATTGTGAAATGGTGAGAAACAGTGAAGATACAAAGAGACTTGGTGAGTCCAAACACAGATCATTGAAATGCCTTCACCAGGCATAGAAAAGAATCACAAAATCAAATGGTACCTCAGCGTTACAAAGTCTTTGAGTTACATTGAGTGATTCTGGGCACCACACCTTGGGTTATAATGGATTTGGAGGGACAGCAATGTGAGGAGGTCTTGTCATGGATTGGGAGCATCCCTGCATCTGAGTCAGAAGCTCATAGTTCAAGTCCAACTCCAGGATCAAGTAAGGCACATTCATAATATGATCAAATGGGTTGAGCATCAACCTGCAAATCCTTCTAACACCTGCCAATGGCAGGCAGCAGGAATGGAAGAAAATCCTGGTCAGCCATATGATGGAAAGAAACTTGCAGCTTTGACCATACTATCCATAGCTCCAGGTTAAATCATGTTTGTGAGCGGGGAGAGGCAGTTAGCTAGATGACTAGAGTGGATCAGATTGATGTTAGCAACTGCCCAGGGTCTGATTCCTGTTCTGGCTGGGGTGGATTTTAGACATGTCTTCTTGCCATACCACTGGTGGAGATTGTGGTGCTGATGTTGGACCTGCTTTTGCAGGGACAGCTTAAGAAGAAGAAAGGTGAACAGTATTGATTTGCCAGAATGGTACTTCAGCTCTATGTGTTAAATTAGTGGACTTTATGAGGTGAAATTACACAAACTGGGTTGTATTTTCTTAAATTTGGAACATTAAGGAATGATTTGGTTTTCAAGCTACTAAGGAAACAGGTTTGAAAGAGAGAACCTATATATAGGTTATTGGTAACCAAATTTAAAATTTAGAGTCAGACCTTTCAAAAGGAAAATTGGGTTAGTACGTTTGAAGGGAAGGCAGACATTTGGAACTCTTTTGAACAAATGGTAATTACTCTAAATGCAGTGTTAATTTTAAAACTGAAACGGATACATTTTTCTCAACCAATGCTATTTAAGGAAAGGGAGAAAATGGAGTGAGGTCACAATTCACCCGTGACCCAAATCAAATTGAGGAGCAAGCTCAAGAGATTTAATTAATGTCCCATTCTCTTGAATGGCACCATATCAAAGCTCCTTAACTAATGCCAATAAACTAGGGAGAGACCTATATTATTCCCTGCCTGTAGAACTTCTTCCTGAAATTAAACACAACTGTTTAGTTGTTTTGTAATTCTAGGTGGTGTGTTGTGGGGGAGCATTGTTAGTTGAGTGGGCTGGGGTGGAGGGGAAAACAGGGTCGCAGATGTGCAGTCAGTTAAACTTCGCACTGAGAGAAATCCAATGTTCTAGACAAATCTAAGAGCTGATAAGCAACATGCATGGAAGGAAAATCAGACATCTGATACAGCAAACTGGTGAATGCTACTAATGTTACCTACTGCAGTCTGGAATGAGCCTGTGATGTATGAATTGAAAGTCACTTTTTCCTTCAGAATCATGGTCATTTGTTGGGGACCCTAGTGTTTGGTTCCAATTCTGGTATATTATGCGACAGAGGGCAATGTCTGCCTGTCTGCTGAGACAAAACCTCCAGATGCGTGCAGGCAGTCCCAAGGTGAAGGCTTCAATGGAACCCCAAGGTATGTAAGTTGGGTATTGACAGGGATGGTTTGGTCATCTTGGATGGGGAGTAGTGGAAAAGAGGTGGGTGATAAAGATGGGGTTTGGAGATCAGGTGGGTAGGAAGAAAGTGGATTACTAACTTCAGGGGCCTCTGATGCAGAAGGGCACCCCCTGAATATTGTATCCCCTTCCTTGACAGCCTTTTAGAAACTTCTCAAAAAAGGTAGCCCCTTTCCAGTTTCTGGTCAATGGTAACCCCCAGGATGTTGATAGTGAGGGAGTTTAGCAATCATGCCATTGAATATCAAGAGGAGATGGTTCGGTTCTCTGTTTGAGCTGGTCATGGCCAGTTACTTGTGTGCAATGGTTATTATTTGCCAGTTGGAAGCCCAAGCTTGGACATTGTCCAGATCTTGCTGAACATTGCAACTGAGGAGTTGTAAATATTGTAGAGTGTTGTGTGATCATCAGAGATAACCACTTCTGACCTTAGTTAATTAATGAAGCACCTGGAGGTGGTTAACCATGGGATATTCTTTTCTCGGGGCTCTTGTTCCGCAATGATACAGTCCCTACCCTCTGGACCAGGAGACCTGGGTTCAAGGTTCATTTACTCCAGAGATATATAATTGATTGGAAAATATCTAACTTGAAGAGCAGGGCCCTTGTCGTGCAGAATTAGTGTTCCTACCTCTGGGCTTGAAGATTTGGGTTCCAGTCTCACATGCTCCAGAGATTTCTGGAAGGCATTCGACAAGGTGCCACACAAAAGGCTGCTGCATAAAGTAAAGATGCACAGCATTACAGGTAATGTATTAGCATGGATAGAGGATTGGTTAACTAACAGAAAGCAAAGAGTCGTGATAAATGGGTGTTTTTCTGGTTGGCGATCAGTGGTTAGTGATGTGCCTCAGAGATCATTGTTGGGACTGCAATTTAAATTTACATAGATGATTTGGAGTTGGAGACCTTGTGTAGTGTGTGAAAGTTCATAGATAACACTAAAATGAGTGGTAGAGCAAAGTGTGTAGAGGACACTGAAAGTCTGCAGTGGGATGTAGATAGGTTAGGTGAGTGGGCAAGGGTCTGGCAGATGGACTAAAATGTTGGTAAATGTGAGGATTTCCCTTTTGGACGGAATAACAGGAAAATTGACTGTTATTTAAATGGTGAAAAATTGCAGCAAACTGTCGTGCAGAGGGACCCGGGTGTCCTTATGCATGAATCATAAAAAGTTGGTTTGCTGGTGCAACAAGGAATTGAGAAGGCAGATGGAATATTGTCCTTCATTGCTAGAAGGATGGAGTTTAAAAACAGGGAGACAATGCTGCAGCTGTGTAGGATGCTGGTGAGGTCACACCTGGAGTACTGTGTACAGTTTTGGTCTCCTAACTTGAAAAAGGATGTACTATAGCACCGGAGGGGGTGCAGAGGATGTTCATTGGGTTGATTCTGGAGTTGAGGGGGCTGGCTTGTGAGGAGAGATTGAGTAGTTGGCACTATACTTCTTGGAATTTACAAAAGGAGGGATCTTATAGAAACATCTAAAATTTTGAAGGGAGTAGATAAAATAGAAGCAGGGAGATTGTTTCCACTGGCGGGTGAAACTCAAACTGGGGGCATAGCCTCAAAATAAGAGGGAGCAGGTTTCGCACTGAGCTGAGGAGGAGCTTCTTTACCCAAAGGGTTATGAGTCTGTGGGATTCCCTGCCCAGTGAAATCATTGAGGCTACCTCGTTGAATGTTTTGAAGGCAAAAATCGATAGATTTTTGAACAGTAAAGGAATTAAGGGTTATGGTGAGCAGGTGGGTAAGTAGAGTTGAGTCCACGAAAAGATCAGCCGTGATCTTATTGAAGGGAGGAGCAGGCCCGAGGGGTCAGATGGCCTACTGCTGCTCCTATTTCTTATATTCTTATGAACAGGTTGATTAAGAACAACCTACTGAAGACAATTCCTGTGCTCTTCTTGGGGCTCTTGTGGAACAGTACTAGTGTCCGTTCCTCTGAGTCAGGAGGCTCAGGTTAAGTTTCACTGTTCCAGAGGTATGTAATAACATCTCCGAACAGGTTGATTAGAAAATTGCTACCCTGAGGACCATATGCGGTGATGTCCTGGGACTGAGATGATTGACCTCTACAAGCACAACCAGTTTTCCTTGTGCTAGGTAGGAACAGCACAATTTAAAAATAACTCTGCATACTAAAATTAATTTGCAAAATAGCTGATTGTCAGCTAATCTCCTTGTTTTTCACCTGGAACCTCAAGTTGTTATCTTGTTCTACCTCTACTGACTTGGTTAAAGGAATAGACCTTTAATCTTGCTAGATAGGACACCTCTTTTCAATACAGTACTGCAAAAGTTGGATTTAACACCTTAGATTAAGTATTAGGTAAGATATTTTGTTTTAGTTTAAAGAACCAGGGAAACTGTTTTTGCACAGTGGATTAGACAGTGTCATCCATTTATGAGAAAAAGTTTTAAATTGCCTAGTGTGGTACTAGTAATAATATGTTCGTGCATTTGTATCAAATTCCTTTATCTGCTATTTTAATACTGGCATTAATCTATGTATATTAAGTGGTTTAACACTTTCATTAAAACTGTGATTAAAGAAATTTCCTCTGATCATATCCATTGCTAAATGTGCTATGTATAATTTCCACCATTGGCTATTGCACTTCACCATTCTGAACCTTAACAATAAGGTGAGCAGCATTACCGTTGAAAGAACGTTGATTATATATCCTATAGAATGCCTGTTTGTGTAACTTTCTTATGTCATATTGCCACAGTATGATTGCTAGGGCATAATTGAAAACAACTAGGAAAATTAAAATCAATTTGAATGAGGATCAGTGATTTTAAAAAAGGCTGCTTTTGAAGATTCTTATTTTCTTCATTATTTAGTCGGTAATTGAAGGCAGTACAAAACAGAAATGTAGCCTACGTTGGTTGCTTATGTGTAGGGAACTTAATCAGTTTCAATGCTAAGTTCAATCCTACAGAGACTTTATAGTGATAGAAAGCTGAGTTACCTGAAGCTTTTTAGTGCAATTTAACTTTTGCATTGCATAAACTGGATCAGTACATTGCAAATCACCTTGGTCTGGTGTCTGTCTTTTGACTGTCTTGACTGTCCTATCAGTCCCTGTGCCTGTTTATTAGCAACTGTCTCTCTGCCAGAGTCTTTTGAATGTGAAAATTATTTTAAAAGAACTCAAGTTTTGTTTGCAAACTTGGCAGACATTGTCTACATTAGCACTCTTCTACCTCTGACTCCACACTTCAAAGCTCAAGATTAGAAAATACTAAATAAATATCTTTATTTTGATTGAAACATTATTTCAAATAGTAAAGGATCCAAGTAAATGAAGAGTCCAGCCTTCAAACAGGAAATAGTGACTGCTGACATCACAATCTAAATACATGAAGTGGAGCCTACAACTGGCTCTTTCAGTTACGGTTTTCAAATGCATTCCTCTGCATTCTCTGAAAAGGACGGCAATTCTTCAAGACACTAGTGGAGGAATCAATTTGGAATGACAGTTCTGCATTGGAAGGACCTGGTTGTTTTGCCTCAAAGTAATTTACCTTTCACTGCTGTTCCCAACACAAAGGCATGGATTTTTAAAAAATGAACACAATTATAAAATATTAAATTACATAATATTAAATGCAATTAAATTATAATGGTGGCTTTTTTACAGTGTTTTAAATAGTACTATTTTGATTTCAGTTCATTTTGATTCTAATAATTTTGTTAGATTTTATTTTACTTTTAAAATTGCTTTAGAAATCACATAAAGAACACAAGTGTATTAGTGACAAGCGCACTACATACACAAAGGTTCATGCATTCTCATTTTCAAGATCTGAGCTACATTCATTAGATTCACTGCTCTTTCACAAATCTCGCTTGTGGTGAACTTTTTTGCTTTGATTCTACCATTAATGTTGCTTGACAGACCCTCCTTTGCCAGATAACAATATGAACCCTCTTAGTAATTAATCACTTCCTTTCCTAGACAGTTCATTGGAACTGCTTTTAATGGGCCAAGTTACCACATATATTTGCCAAGCCAAATATCTATAGTGTACATCTATTTGATTTCTGCTTGCCAGAACAGTTATTAGCTAGATTATAAATAGCTACTACCAACAGAAAAAAGTCAATAACCTCAAATATATCTGTTCTAGGATAGAAAAAGTGGTAGCGCAGAGCCTGACCCTAAAAAGAAAGCACCTTTTAGATCGCTCACTTCAACACTGACCTCCAGCTTCAAGAGACGTAGGTCTTCCAAAGACACGGTAAGAGGAATTGGGACTCCTTTCACCATGCCATGAGTCCATTAGCCCAAAGTTCATTCAGTACTATTACATATCCACCTCACCACATGCCCATATGAAACAGCTGCATTACATCTTTAACACTGGGCAAAGGAAGGAGGCGAACTTGGGAGAACTCCAGAAGTGTTGATAACATCCTTGAATGTTTATGTCTGACACTTGTTCTTGCTGTCATTGCCATTGTTAGTTTCCCTGTTGATTTGAAGGAAATTCCCCTTGCTGATTGCTGATCCATTCATGATGAGAATAACTTTCAGTTAAATCCGATAACCACCACAAGACTCTAGGTTCATTCCCAAGATTCATATATTTCATCCTTCCCAAGCATCATGTCTTCTGCCATGTACAAGTATCATGTTTTACACAGTTCCAACAAATCATGTTCTCTATCATTCACAAGAATCATTTACAAGAATCATGTTCTTTCAAATGCTTTTTGATAATGGTGATGATGAGGATGAAATTTCTAAATTAAATTACTGGCATTACCTTTTTTGATACATTTGTTAATTGTGATGATGTAATGATGTTTTTTTTCTCTCTGCAGACACTTTTTCTTCCTTTTAGATTTTTTTCTTGACCAATTTTATCTTTATCTTGGCTTCTTGCTGTAAGGTCATCACAACCACACAGTAATCACACATTGTCAGTTGCAAACTTTCTTTACTTTCATTTTGACATTTTTCACCTCCTACTTTAGATTTATTTTCCATATATATAGTGTTGATTTGGAGGGTGGATCTGTGTTTTTGGCTGCCATTAAATTCAGAAATATTGCCTTTCCAATGTGATCTTACAGAAGGTTGGGGAGCAGACACAAGATGAAGGTGCTAACCTTTGCTTCTTTCAGTGCTCACACTGAGCTTGAAAAACAGGATTCTCACAAAAGTGAGCTAGGCCGTTATTGAGACAGAGGACAAATAGGTGTTGGACCTATGGTACACCCAAACTGAATTTGCTCACATCACCACAAAATAAACTGAGCTGTAATCAAGCAGATCTGGTTTGTTAAATCTAGACTTCATCCAAAGTAACTAAGATGGACTAAGAAAAACATCATGATGAATGTTTTTTTCTCTCTATAATTAATAACAGACCAATAAAATGCACAGCAGGAATGCACAGCTTTGAACTGCGTAGTAACTGAAAATATATGCTTTGGTAATTTACACTGTGTCATAGAGGAAAATGGGCATTCTCCTGCTTTTCATTAAAAGATAAATTTGACTTCCAAATATCACAGCATTGATGTCCATGCACATGATTACATCACAAAATCATTATGGCAGTTTCAACATTTTTCTGGTTCTATTGTAATTTAGTAGTGTTCTTTTTCACAATGTTTATGTTACTGATTTTTTAGTTAAAGCTTTGTTTCCCTTTTAATAAAATAGATTTTGAGAAAAATAATTTTAAAAGCCTTGAACCCAGAATCATTGGCTATATTTGGAAAAACTGAACATTTATGACATTTAGATTGAATGCATGAATGCTATTATGAAAGCTGAATAACAATATGAAAAATACAGCCAAACAATCTAATGTAAAATAAATTAATGAACCCATAGCAGAACAGAATAGCTAAATTGGGCTTGTGAAGGGCCATGTAAGGCATGGAGCATTGAATCAGGCTGCCTAGTTCATACTGTACCTGAATTATAATCACAAATACAAGCTCAATAAACTCTAATGCCAAAATTTTAGAACCCCACCATTGCTGGCACACTACATTATAATTTCTCTTCTTTAGAGCTGTTGAACCCTGATTGCACTTTTTTGGGCAGATTTCAAGGTTGGAAGTTGCTTTGTTGACTTGCCATCTTGAATAGAATCAGTTATTAGCAAGCACAATACAAAAGACAGTTCTCATGTACTGCTATGTGAGCAATGTATATGAATCTATGCTCTCTCCTTCTAGCAACTATGCAGCAGTGCCAATGATTCTAATTAGGGTTGCCAACTCCAGGGTTCCTGGAGGTTCATCAGATCCTGCTGCAACCAACACCTTGCAATTAATCAGCCAGCATGTCCATTCTCCTGATGCACAACACTCCTATGCCAATTGAAAGACGGATGGACTGTTCATTACTTATATGGATGATTTTTGACCATCAGTCAAATAACATTTTGGCCCATGTACATTTTTTAATATAACTCATGAAGGCATTTTTAAAACTCAGTCTTTATTTCCTTGTTTTTGTGCTGGGTTCCTTATAGCCATATTCTGAAGATTAGACTTTAATTGATGGAGATGCCAGGGAAATCTTGGAGGGTTGGCAACCCTAGTCCTGAATGATCATGCTGTTGTATTTCTTCAATTGCACACATTCTGAAATGTTTGCCATTGCTTAACATGCACTTTTAATTCCAAATACAGGGCTCTAAGTTGTGTTCTTTCATTTTCCTCTGGCTGCCTTCTTACTGAGGGACCATCATTTTATATGTTTTCATCACTTCATCAGTAATAGTTTAAAATCATTTTGTTTCAAAGTGTTTTAAACTTCATTTGTATTTTTTAGTTCAGACAATGTGACATCAGAAAATCTGCATCAGAAATTTTTCGTTCCCATTCCCCTTAATTGTACACTGTGCCATTATCCTTTCAGATATTGTTTAGAGAAATTCAATGTACTTTTTTTTAAAACTGAAGAAGCATTTTACTTTCTGAATAAAATAAAATGCAAAAATACCTGTCTTGTCTGTCAGCCTGATTTATGTGCCTTCCTAGTCTTTGATATAAATTGAGCGATCTCATCTTCAACAAACTTCAGCATTGCTAACCTCGTGTGTCTCTCATATCTTCTGCTCCATTGTGCAAACTCTGCCTGCTAGCTGTCATTTCTCAAACCCAACCACCTTGGCAGTCCTCAAGAAGGCAGAATCTTTGTATGCTGTAAATTTATTTTGTTGTTCTGACAAGAAACCATTTCTCTTTCTCCTTGCTTTCAGACTGAACAATGATGCTTCTTTCTTCTTCTCCTTCTTTAGATTAGAAGGTAGACTGCCCAAGCAATGACAGTGAATGCATACCTTTTGTGAACTACTTCTTCATCTCAGTATGTTTCTCTAGAACTATTATGAGGACCAACAGGCTAGGCATTATAAAATTCATATTAGTAAAATGCATCTTGGGTACTCTGTTTTCTCTTTGAATCCAAAATGGAATATAATACAGTTGCTTGGAAAATGGCAACTTCACATGGCCATTTGTACATAGGTGGTATTGCAAAAGTTAGAAATCCTTGTTTGAATTGATGAAAGGATATTAATGAAATAGACACTTGTTCACATTTTCACCCATATCATGAAATCTTGGGTGTTTATTTCTGCAACACTACAACTAATCTTTACATTAGCTCAGACTGTGTAGTGCTATGAATTAAATGAAGCGTAAAGCACAATTTAATGTAATAGATACTGTATTGTAATTTGTGTTTTAGATTAATATACTTCATTTTAATTCCAGATCTCTCAATTTTTTTCCCTCTATGACTGATATAACAATAAAATGAATCTGTTGTTAAAACACTGGAAATAATAAGAATGAAAAAAAAACTTATTTCTAACAGCAAGTATGAAGTAGAAACTAATTGAGGCCACTATGAATGCAGTGAACAATATGGATGAGATGATCTTGTTCACCTTAATGAGGGGGTGAACCTAATATTATTCATTACCTCAATCATGTAATTTAAAAATATTTACAGAGATTTTAAAATGGAAACAAGTATAGCCATCATCACCTGACGTAAGTACATCTGGTTCGAGTGGAATAAAGATAGCAATCATTTCTGTATGCACTAACTACTCCTCAGTGTTTAAAAAGGAAGGGTTATATATATAAACATTTGGGTCTGAGAAGGAAGCATTTCATTTGGAAAATTCCACAGAACAACGAATTAGTTTTGATAATTTTTTTATGTATTCCTTTCTAATATATTTTTTTGTCCGACCCTACAGCTATTAACTGAATTAAATGTCACTTGCAATGACTTTTAGGTTTTGACAGGCAGTACTGTTCTCTAGTTTTGTTTCCCATGATTTCTAGGTTTCAGGACTATGATTATGATTCCTAGCTTCATGCACTGCACCATGGTCGCAACAACTACTGACTATGTGAAGTTCAAAAGTCAAAAATATCTGATAGTTCAGTTGATTACCTTAGTGAAGTAATGAAAATAATGTTGGCCCTATCTGGTTTCTGTGACAGTGAGTTTTGGCAAAATCTAGGGTTGATCAGAAGTTCAACTAATACCATTAAACTGTAGGTGCTAAAATCCAGTTTAAGGTAACTTTAAAGCCATTATTTCTTGTGAGTGTAACACTACCTGAGAACTGTGATCTTGCACAGTATTTCTGATAGAATACCTTGTAATGTTCTTACTTAGTTCCTATTAGATAACACCATGCAGTAAACGTGGGTGCAGTCAATATTTCAAAAACCACAAAAACTTTAGACAATATATTTGGCAACAACATTGGCGATGCTGTGATTGTAAACTGTATCAACTTAATCATTCAAGTTGATTGTAAAATTTGGGATTTTTAAACAAGATTCTCAGCAATTCTGTCAGAAGTTGGAATTTTTTACCAGTCATTTGTTTCCTACATGCATGGATATGCTGCACCTATCTTTATCACCAGCAATGACACAACCTGCCTTCAACTTCACCTCATTCCCAATCACGAAACAATGTTCACAACTCGTAATTGCTGGAAGAGTTTTGAATGTACTATTGTTTCATGATAACAGCATTCATAATTTGCAAACTATCAGAGCATGTTTAGTTTAGTAGAACTTGGATCACTTTTTAATCTCTGATACATTTTAAAATAAACTTGCTTTGATGCACAAATTTAATGGTTTGAAATAATTTCCATCCTGACAGATCAAATGCCCTGTTAAGATCAACATTTTAGTTGAACAATCCAGTTAATTTTGTTGGAACGCTACTGTCTCTTTTTCCTTATCTTTCTCCCTGCATGTTACTGTTTGTACTTGATACAGATTCTACAGTGTGAACACTCCCTCCCTCATATCAAACATCAACCCAATGATAGGCTAAATAGAATAAACACAGAGCACAAACACAAAGTGGTAACATATAAAGAATAGAAAGAAATTAAAGGAAAAAAGGACAAGAAATAAGCTTGGTTGAAACTGGACTTGAGAGATCAAATGTTGAAAAGGATAATGCTTTTACATTTCTTTGAATTTTTGGTTGTGGGGAATCTAAAATTAGGGAACATAGGGTGGAGTCTTCTAGTCCTCGAGGCAGGAAGACAAATAAAAATTGGGCAGGTTGGCAGTGTACCCATAATCCTGTCTTATTGCCTGCCTCCTCCCAAATCACGTTCTCAGCAAGAAGGTCTATGCTTGACCTTCCACCTTTGCTGTAAATTAAGACTCTTAGGTAGTCAGATAATGACCACTTAAGGACAACCATGTGTTAAACTCTCTTATTTGACAACAATACTACCCTACTTATATAACTGGACAACTGAATCTCTTAGACTTCTCTGTCAGCACAGTAGTGTAATTCAGTCTAGAATACTCATGTTTAAAATTCCTGCCAGGGTTACAATTATCTGAGCTCCATGCAACACAAATAAGCGGCTTACCCGCTGGTAAACCAATCCAGGGATTGCCTGTCAGTCAGGGAGTGAGGGTCTCTTGATATGTATAACCCAGGGACCGGACAAAGGGTATGGAGGTAAGCGGTGACAGCAAGCCTCCTGCCTTTACTTCTGATCCCCTATCCCCTCTGCATGCACCATCAAACTCCAGAATCCAACCTCCATCTGAGCTCTTGGTTCTCATGAGCTTGTTGTCCTTCTGTAGCAGCAATGGTTTTTGCAGTGGCACTGCCAGGTGCGAGAGCTGCCACCCTCTGACTAGCTGGCAGTTCTGGCTGTCCTACCAGGAACTTGATTTCAGAGGTAGGTTTGCCGCTATCCTCCAAATTGTCTGACTGGAAGAAAATAAGATAGGCCTTGCTCTGAAGAGTCCACCTTTTGAGCAGCAAGTGAGACACCTGACAGAAATGGAAAATTCCTCTCTATTGTCAAAATAAAGGGTTTCTTATTTAGTTAGAGATGAGGAGAAATTTCTTTGAGGCAGCTACATATTAGATCCAAACATTTTCCAATGTACTGTTTCACTTGACTTCCAGTAATATTTCTTGACAAATTCAACATATATTTGTCAAAATTGAATAATAATTGTATAGTTCATGCCTTGAGTGGGGGCATGGTCTTACAGGCAGATGTTTGGGATGGAGAACATACTGATTCTTCAATAGAAATGTGGAATACTGGCAGTAACTTCTGTCTCTCTCTCTCTCTCTGTTATTTTACAGCAATACCATCCTGATATAAGTGGGCAACTGAACCTCTCAGACCCTTCTGTCAGCACAGTGGTGTGATTCTGATTTAAAATCAGAAAGAAATATGAGACTCAAGAGTTACTGGCCAAAGCAGCAAGAGTTTAGAACACCAGCAATGACCAGAGTGAAAGGGAAGGAAAGTAAAAAGCTACAATGGAATCACAAAATCATCAGTGTTAGTATATTCTGAAAATCTGCAGTGTTAAAGTTACTGAGCCTTCTCTGCTACTCAGCAAAGCATTACTCATACAAACATACAAACTAGGAGCAGAAGTGTGCCATTTGGCCCTTCAAGTCTGTTCTGCCATTCAATAAGATCAAGTTTGATCTGTTTTTTGTCCCGAATTCTACACTCCCATCTATCCCAATAACCTTTGATTCCCATGCCTATCAAGAATCTATCTACCTCCGCCTTATCAGTATTTTTGGTGACATATCAAATCTTTAGTACAAATTATTCAACAAACTTATTGTTAAAATTATTCATCAAAAACTCTTATTCACCGAACAATTTTTATGAAAGTTACTCAGCAAATTATTAACACAGAGGAAAATGGGTGGCATGGTGAGTTAGCACAGTACACCTCTGGGACCTAACATGAACCAATCCCAGACAAAGGTGGGACTGTTTCAATTCAGTATTAGGCATTAGGCACAGAATGACCACTTATTCAGCACAAATTGACACGTAATTGGCAAACTCAATCACAGGCAGGAAAGGGAGGGCTACTGTAAGAAAAAAAAATCACATTAGTGCAAGACATGGTAGGCATTTTGAAGGGATGCTAGGGGATTGTAGAATTTCATGAGCTAGAAAAGAGTACAAACATTGTGTTGAATTAGTGAAGATTATTGTTCAAAATCTACAGTTAGTGTTAATTTTTTGTCACCACACTTATTTAGCTATGTTCTAATACAACGGGAGCATGATTTCTTCCATTTGTTAATATTAGTGAAAAAGTCAATTTCAGTAAGAATGCGGCAAACATTCAGTAAAATGTTACAGGGAATGGGAGGGTAATCCTGAAAGAAAGTGAGAAAAATTGTGACTTTCTCTTTGAAACACTTGGATTAATAAAAGAAAGGATATTTTGAAAGACATTGATGGAAGCTTTTCCAGAACTTTAGAGATTAATTTAGAGATCAGGAACTGGGAAAATGGCAAAAAGAAAAATGCAGTGGATTGGCTTCCTGGCACAGTCATGCTTCCCTAGATTTGTACCTAATACAGTTTCAGACTGGTGACAGCAACCCATCTCTCAGTCCCAAGAAGCAAACTGAAGAAACTACAGATGCAATTTAGCAGGCACTTTTGGAATGCTATGTCATTCTGTCAGTGGCACTCAAAACCCCCACTGGTCAACAGTTTGTCTACCCAGAGGAAGTGAGAACAGAGCAAGTGGTCGGACAGCCATGTCTTTCCTCTGCAGTTGTCATTTTAAACAACTTATATTTATCTTGTATCGTTAATCTAAAGAGCAAAATTGGCAATCTTCAGGACATCCACAGACAAACACTTATTACTTGCAAATGAATCTGTTGTTTAGTGCTGGGCATGAGGAATTACTGTTAGTTCTGGTAACCTCCAAACATTGATATAATGTTCTGCATTCAACTCAGCAGCACACAGTGAGTTTGCTGGCCACCCTTTGGAGTGGGAGCTCTGATTCCCGTGAATGTCCTGCTTTGGTCCCCCATCATCTTTAATTGGGTGCACAACTGGAAGAAGTTCACAATTGGCTTCCTCTGGGAAGATTGCAGTGGATGTTCTGTCATATCCAAATCTAGGTTCACAAACTGGAAATCGGCCCAATGCCCGCTCGCAACTCCAACAGAAAAACCTAAGTCCAAATGTTTCTAACGCTAATAATTGATCAATTATGAGAAAGCATATCCCAGATCATTTTCTGAAGAATGAAGGGGAAATGAGAGGAACTGTTTCACTGGGTCATTCAGACATGGAACATTTCACTAGAAGTGGTAATTGCAATCAGGCCATAATTTTATTTGTAATGAAATTGTATATGTATTTGAAAAGCAAGAATATAAACGCATATGATAAAGCTGAGAAAAAAGGATTAGAGTAGATAACTTCACCTATCACCTATCAAAAAACAGGAGTGATGAGCCAAAGGTTCTTTCTGTGTTGTGATTTCTACAAAAGTGGAAAAGCTTACTTTATAGTCAAATCAATTGCTTTACCAACATCAGTGAATGGAAACATTAATTTAGTGGGATATCATTAGTTATCATGTGCCGTGCACTGGGCCAGTATCATGATGTACTGGCAACTATTCATATCTTTAGTGTTGGCTTACTCTTTGGACAATAGGATTCCACAAAATAGCAGAATCAGGAAGGTTCCCCAGCCTCTGCAGCATGTCCTTTACCTGATACAAAATGTAGAAATTCCCAGAGATTATGAACTGTCCAAACTAGGCCGAGTCTGTGGGAATCATTCCAAAGATCTTTAGGGCTTTGAAACCATTAGGTTCTGACAGTTCCATATATAAATAAGGCAGAGATCCTTCTTTGGAAGGAAATAAATGGATGGACTGGGGGGAATCAGATGGGGTGAGCTTAGAAGAACATTTAATATCTTCCAGGTAAACTAGAAATTTTGCGATGTCCTGTCTCATGCAAGACACTATTAATTAAACATTTCACATCTCAACTCAACCAAATCACCATCTTCTAATTTACTGACAGCTCTGAATTTACAAACAGAAAATGCCACTAACACCTTACTGATCTGACAGCATCAATAGAGAAACCGTGTGAATGTCTTAGAATGTCACTTCATCAGAATTTCCTCAATTTGGTTGTAAGGTCATTGATCTGAAACACAAACGCTTTCTTAATTCAATGATGCAACCAGGCTAGCAGATTATAGAAACATAGAAGATAGGAGCAGGAGGAGGCCATTCGGCCCTTTGAGCCTACTCTGCCATTCTTCACGATCATGGCTGATCGTCCAACTCAATAGCCTAATCCTGCTTTCTCCCCATAACCTTTGTTCCCATTTCCCCGAAGTGCTGTACCTAGTCGCCTCTTGAATACATTCAATGTTTTGGCATCAACTACTTCCTGTGGTAATGAATTTGACAGGCTAACCACTCTTTGGGTGAAGAAATGTCTCCTCATCTCCATCATAAATCATCTACCCCAAATTCTCATACTGTGACCCCTGGTTCTGAACACACCCACCATCAGGAACATCCTCCCTGCATCCACCCTGTCCAGTCCTGTTAGAATTTTATAAGTCTCTATGAGATCCCCCCTCATTCATCTGAACTGTAGCGAAAACAATCCCAACCTAGTTAATCCCTCCTCATACGTTAGACCCACCATCCCTGGAATCAGACTGGTAAACCTTCGCTGCACTCCCTCAAGAGCAAGAGCATCCTCCCTTAGAAAAGGAGACCGAAACTGCACACAATATTCCAGATGTGGTCTCACCAAGGCCATTTACAACTGCAACAGCACATTCCTGCTCCTGTACTCAATACCTCTCGCAATGAAGGCCAACATACATTTGCCTTCTTTACCACCTGCTGTACCTGCACGCTTACCTTCAGCGACTGGTGCACATGGACATCCAAGTCATGCTGCACACTCCCCTCTCCCAGTTTACAGCCATTCAGGTAGTAATCTGCCTTCTTGTATTTGCTTCCTAAGTGAATAACCTCACATTTATCCAAATTATACTGCCATTGATTTGTCCACTCCACCCAACCTGTCGAAATCATGCTGAAGGATCTCTGTATCCTCGTCACAGTTTGCCCTCCAACCCAACTTGGTATCATCTGCAAACTTGGAGATGTTACATTTTGTTCCCTCATCCAAATCATTAATATATATTGTGAATGGCTGGGGTTCCAGCACCGATCCCAGTATTTTCACTTTTCTTTCAGATTTACAGTATTGACACAACTTTTTCCCAAAAAATAACTTTATTTGTTTTGAAATATTGTCTTTATCAGGTCTTATATAAAGCATCTAATATTCACAAACTTGTTTAGAGCTGCGATTGAAGTCCAACAGCATCATTACTGATCCACCTTACCCAATAATCTTTCTAAAATTAATTTATACATCCTTGATACAGCTCGTAATATGAATCTTTAAAGCTAAAAAAAGTTTGCATTCCTTCCACAAAAATAAAAGCTGTACTCTCACTTTAAATGTGCATTTGTACTTTCTCATAAACAATAATATATTTCTCCTATTTGTTCCTGGGAAGGATGATTATAGAGAAACATTGAACAATATTTTATTTTATTGGACTAAATTGCTTTGGGAATTCTTACATAATTCTTCCAAGTCATTGTGAACATAATAGAAATTATGATTCCATTTTTATAATAAGAACTAGAGATCTGTTAAATCATTTTATATAGTTGAATTGTAAAATAGAATTTGTGATTGTAATTTAACACTAGGGAGCTATTGTCATACCTGCTTTCTTGGGGAAAGTCCTGTAATGTACTTAATTTGTCTCATTCACTGCTATAGGATGCTGATACAAATAAAGGGGCTTTGTCTTTATTGCTCCTTGAGCCAGTGAGTAATATACAGTGCCTGAGAATATCAATATTAGTTCATAGTTAATCTGTATTGGATCTGGTGATAGGTAATGCACGGTACTGAAATAAACACATTTTTTCAACAATTCTGGAGCAATTAAAATGAATCATTATAAAAGGTGTTTGCCATTTATGTGGTATTCTTCAACTATAAACATTCTGAAACTCTGGATTTTGATTCAAATTAAAACTTTCCTTCTATACAATGATATCTATTCTAAAAAATCTTTTAACATTAATTAACATTCAGTATTTTTCAAATTACATCAAAGTTTTGATTTTATGGCATGATGCAAGCTTGGTATGCAGGTAACAAAGCAAACATGAAGCTATCCAATGTTCATTTATTCAGTTAGGGGATGTGATACATTTCTGACAAGTCCAAGATTTACGGCACATCCATAATTGCCCTTGAGAAGGTATCTTGAATTACTGCAGCCAATGTAACGAAGG